ATTTGCAAGCTGTTATATCTGCCAGAGGAGGTGTTACTAAGTACTGATTATGTAGGGTGCCCAAACTTTTGCAGAGTGCCACAATAATGTTTTTATTTTATATGTTTTTTCAATTTATGACATAAAAAGTAACTATGCATCAATGTTTGGTGAAAATATTGTGCATTTTTTCCATTTCATACAGAGACTGTGTTTACATCTTTTCCATTAAAAAATGACCAAAATGTGTTATTTATCGAGGGGTGCCCAAACTTTTGCATACCATTGTATTTATATACTTATTAAGACAGAACTTTTTGGGTATAAATCAAGACTGGATTGACAAACATATACTGTAGCAGAGTTCTTTCCTCTGCAAATTCACAGTTGAATTCTGGCTTCAAAAAGTTGCTTTTATAGCATTGTAGGCCTACAAATTTAAATACAAAATAATTATATGGGATATTTCATTACCTAAGACACTGTTAAAGAGTCAAAAGACAGACCAAAAGCTATTGCATTTGTTATTACACACAAGTCGCATTGGGGGAATGCATTATTTTCATGGATGTCCATTATCTCAAAAACTACAACCAATATAGCAAAAGTAATGTGATTTTTGAATTCAGCACCCTCAAAATACCCTAAATCCATTCAAAAATCTTTGGCACCTGAATTTTTTTTTTTTGTAGACCTGTGTGATGTAGGTTTTTCAGAGTTTGTTTCTCTTTCATGATTTTTAATTTTTTTTTACTTTTTTTCCAAATTGCAGAAACAACACAAGCTGAATTAATATATGACCTGGGACTGGAAAGTTACCTGAAGGAAAAACTTACCCTAAGTACTGTGCTGGAGATCACCAGTGAGACTGTAAAGGATAAGTCGGTCCAGTCCGTCAAATCTCTGCCGTGGTATTTTCTGAGGAAGCTCATGATGGTAAATGTGACTGCTAGGAGTGGGATGTGCACAAGCAATGATGCCTCAGCCTTCCAGAGCCTGGACAGCTTTCTAGAGCATCTGGGAGACCTTCAGGGTCATAGCAATAGGGTCAATCCCCTTGATGTCATCACAGCTCTTTTCCTGTGTTCAGATGGTTTCCTTCAACAGGAAATGACCTTGAAGATGTCCATGTGCCAGTATGCTGTGCCTCTTCTGCTTCCCAATTCTGACGGACACCAGTGCATGTTGATGCTTTGGGCTATGAGGGACATTGTAAAGAAGTTCAGGCCACATTCCCTGAAGGATCCAAAAGGATTCGTAGAGGACAGCATTGTGCTTACAAATATGCCCATGGTATCTTTTGTCAGACTGGGCAGCAGTAGCTTGAGAAAGTCTCACATCTTGAACCAAGTTCTGAGCAACCCTCAGCAGTACCATGACACTTTTGTTCATGACAACATGGCATGTGGTGATACCAAAAGGAGGATTTCTAATGGCCTGGTGGAAATTAGCTGGTATCTGCCCTGTGGGAACGAGAACATTGACGTCTTTCCTGAGCCTGTTGCTGTATCCAACTTGCGTGGAGACATAAGATCCTTTCATACTGAATTTCTTTTCCTCTGTCAAACGTCTGCAGCAGTCTTTGTGTTCTGCGATGACTTTAGTCATGGCTGTGAGGTGCTCAATCATCAGGATATTAGGTCTCAGTTATTCTTAGTCAGCAATTCACAGGCCAGCAGCTTCAATGTGGCAAACTTTAAAGCACAGATATCCAGGCTTCAGCTTCAGCCAAAGAACATCCTCATGAAGCGCCCGGGAATGAATGATGCGGAATTTGGTAACGAGCTGCGAATGAGTGTGAGTGAGCTACTGAAGGAAAATCCACTGAAAATGAATATTGTAGACATGTCAGCTATTGCGCAGGATTTAGGAATCCCAGTAGATGAAGACTGCACCCAGTGTCAAAATGGGAAGAAAATGGCAGATAATATTACATCAGGAATAACTGACATACCAGATTTCAAGGAAAAACAACTTCCTTTGCAAGGAGAAATCTGGAAAGA